TGGTCGCATGGGGCCCCCTGGTCGCCTGGGGGCCCCTGATCGCTTTGGGGACCTGATCGCATTGGCCCTTGGTCGCCTGGAGGGCCCTGGTCGCCTGGGGCAGTGGGGCCCCTAGTCATCTGGAGGACCTGGTCGCCTGGGAACCCCTGGTCGACTGGGGGCCTCTGGTCGTCTGAAAGTACGCTTATCACCTGATTGATCCCAAATCATCTGAGTGGCTACTGGCTACTGGATATAAGTAGTGACTGGAGTAGGCACTCATCTGAAGGAGCCAATATCTTTCACGGTGCCGGAGATATCACAGAAAAACAAAAAGGCTAAACTGAATACCCCCCAACCTTGGCCCCAAAGGCGTCATTGGCTAACACAGGGATGTGGGTCGATTTGCAATCGCATTTCCTCCTAAGTCCTATTCCTCCAATCAATACAGAGTGTCCCAGAATTACACAAACATTTATTTTCTGGCTAAAAGTACAATTGCGCTCGATTCCTAGTGAAACATATAATAGCCGCGTTTACATAGGGCTAGCTGTCAGATAGTGGAATTCCGATAACGAGACATTTATTCCCCACTATTATATTATATACCTACATATCCAGAATTGGAGGATGTTCAGTAATTGAGGCGCTCGCTCATAAAATGCTGTGCGTTTCATGCACACTCCTCAAGCAAAAATATTTTTACTTTCCAATTTTCCACATTTTCTCAAGGCTTAGACCGTTACAGAGACCGTTTTAATTGACTTTGATGAAGTTGAACGCGAGAAATCACAACCAAATGCTACATTGTTGTAAAGAACTGAATTGCGTTTTCCCACACACGTGGCGTTTTCTCACCTACGTCTGCAGGAGAGACCGGACCCACTATGCCCCCCCCCCCCCACCATCGAAAGGTTCTTCATGACTCCCGGGGCCCCCCGGGGAACCTAGGGGCCCTATACACTGTGGGGGGCCCCTTCGAAAGCAGGTGGCCCCCTCCTGGGCGAAATCCTGGGTACGTGCCTGACATAAATACTGGTAATTCAGCGTAGACTGACGTTAAGTTGGGTGAAATCGATGAAGAAAAATATAGCTGATGCTGGAACACAAAGTATATCGTCCAACATAAAAATATACCCTTGGAACTTGAGACCTAAATCACTGTCAGATAAAATACAGCTTCAAATCTCACCTAAAAGTTAAACGGCCGTCCGGGCAGTGATTCAGGTCAGCTGTAAGAAAGAAGCATACGAATACGCATTATGATTTAAGCTTTGCATGTAGGCACAATCCGAGAGATGGACTGCCAGTAACCAATTACCATTAGATACGTACGATGAGCATCCAAACACGTTCTGAGTTAGGTAGCTGTGTGCGCATCTGGCGGTCAGGGGTCGGGTCGGTGGGGCTCGGGGGCGGCCTGTCGGACACCGTGCGACCTTGGCTCCCCGCGGCGCCCAATATCGGTCTGTTTTCGGCCTCCTCCCACTCGCGTCCCACGCAGACGGCCGTCGGCGGCGGCCAGACGGGGCCACCTGCCGACAATGGGCCGCGGCTGGGCACTGACAATGACCTGGGGAGGACGGCCCCGGTCTGAGAACCGAGTGACAGGGGATCGGGGAACGAAGAACATTGACCTGAGGTCGGAACGACAGTGACCCGGAGAAGGGATAAACCACGACGGTACGACCCGAGAAATGATAGCTACTTCCTAGATGTCAGAAAAACTGTACTCGGGATTAGAACAGAGATATACGGTCGGATTGAACGTGAGGCGAGAATGGGCGGGTTATGGTCCGAGCCGTTAGCTGTCATGACGTGATTAAAGGCGTTGAGTTGAGCGAATCAGAACACTTCAGAACTGCGGCATGACGCCACAATATCTTTGGACCAAACGATCACGATATTCCCACGATCACTATGATCCCAGATCATCATATGTCGATGATTGACGAGGCAGGTAAGAAACCGTGAGAGATTGTGAGCGACAAATTAACCTGACCGATATAATTCTTCGGAATGCTTTTGAGACGAGGTGTTAGTATCACTGATGTTAGTTGTCGGACTTTCGTCCCCGTCTTGAGTTGAGATGTGAGATCTATCAGTGACATGAACGACATGGAGAAAATACAGAAGAAATGGCCACCGACACCAATTTTATAACTCATTTGAGCTTTTAGCCAATCAGCGAGAGAGAAAAAGCATTCTATCAATTTACAGATGATATTTGTGCATGTTATAGCAAGTGAGTCGGAACATACTCGTATACATAGGTACATACGTCATGACAGCAATAGTAGGTAGGCATTCATGATTTTCCGTTGCCCACGCCCCACGATCACCCCTCTTTATTCGAATTTGACTTGTGTAGTTTCGTACAGTACCTACCTATATCACTTTCACTTTATGAGATTTGAAAATAAATAACAATCTTTTTTTGTAATTTGCAATAAGATGATACACGAATACTTTGCTGATGTCACAATGCTTATCTAGTTTAATCATTCTGACAGCTTAAGACAAAATCTGAATTCGGCTAACTGCTGAACTCAATAGGGGAGAGTGGGGTAAGATGCCCAGGGTGGGAAAGACGCCCCACCCCCTCTAGCGGCGAAACAAAGAATCGAACCTGGAAATTAATGTTCTTAGCGTAAAGCGGAAGCCTGCCTTGTTAACTGCATAAAAATTTGCGAAGCTCAGTTGGGCAACGGCTGGCTGGTGATTGCATGTTTTTTATTTGCTGCTTTCAAAAAATATTTTGGTGTCAAAACATTGTAAATATCAAAGAAGGTAGACAATTTTTGCGTCCCTTGCTATAGTCGTGATACATTAACATGCGTGTACTGTGTCCCACACAGTTTGTTTCAGGGTGTAGTTTTATGGCTAACAAATTGTACTGATTTAATGTTACTTCGGTACCTTGGGGTAAGATGCCCCCTGTCCCGATGGGGAAAGACGCCCCCCTAAATCCGTAGGCTGTCCTTCAAGCAGCCCGTCAAATCATTTATTACATACTTGTGATGAGAGACAAAAGCCGATCTGGAACTATTGAGAGTCCAGTACGGTCGGGTGCTCCCCATGCCGGTCTCTCGGCCCACACAGCGACTTTTTGGGCGGCATCTGACTCTGAGAGCCCTCACGACGGCCTCTGTGGGCCCCATTATTGGCTCCAGGGCCCCTCACGACATTCTTTGAGGGCTCCTACGTTGGCTCCACGGGCCGCGCTGGCATCTGAGGTCCCCACGATGGGCTCGAAGGTCCTCAAGCATCATGAAGACCTATAAGGGCCCCACAGTGGCCTCCGAACACCACCACGGAGGCTTGTTTGGCCGCGCTGGACTATGATGGCCCTAACGATGACCTCTGAAGCCCTTTACGACTACTTTTGAGGGCCCTTACTATGACGTTTGGTGTCTACTGCAGGCCCGAAGGGACTACTGATTCGTTCAGGCGATTCACGTGCCCATTTATGTCACTTATAGTGCAGGGGGCGTCTTACCCAACGCCAGGGGGCGTCTTTCCCACCCTGTGGGGTAACATGCCCCCTTTCACTTCTTTAGGAAAATGCTTAATAGCAAAAAAGTTATCATATTTCAGGCACGAAAGTGTGATATTTTTGGAGAAAAACGATGTCGGCTTCTGTTGAAACTCCAAGTTTTTGCTTTCTGATCGTCATTTTCGAATAATATACGACATAGTAAGACCCTGGGCATCTTTCCCCACTCTCCCCTACTCGCGAGTTATCCAAGGAACATCAGATCCAAGGAACACAGTCACGCAATGAATGCATCTATAAGCCATTTCCACGGAACTCTGTCTGACTAATAATAGGTTGTAAAATGCAAATAAGGACAAACGTGGTAGTAACCCTTCCGTAAGCATTAACGCACTTGTAGAATGTACCATCTTCTTCTGTTTATAAAGCTTTCAAATTACAGGTTGAAGATGAACGGAGGTATACTAATTGTACGGTGATATAAGCCCTAGCACATGGAACTCGCATCCAGCCTAAGCCCTTTGAAAACATATCTCGTAATTATGATCTCAGTCATGAGACCAGCCCAGCTGGCCCTCGATTCCCCTCTTCCACAACAACGATGGTCGTACCGAAAAATGAGATGTGACGCTCGTATTAGTACTCGAAAAGAGCTGTTGGGATGAATAACATTAGCATCACTTTTAAAAGTTGCCGATCACGTGAGAACAAGCGAACGGTCATATACCTAACAATTGTTTTTACAACACGCAGGATGGTAAAAGCAAAAGCTTAAGACATCAAGAGACAAGACAACATGATTAATGTTATCCTGAGAGAACTCATGCACTGGTCCTCAGTTTACAATGTTTTCGATTTACAAGGGTATTCAAATAACTATTTTGCGAGGCCAATCTTACGACGACCACTGAAAAGGTTTGATTATTTGAACTTTTTGCATGCGCTGCTCTGTACCACTCAGGCTATAGAAACGTTTCCGAACAAGGAAGTGACGAAAGCACGACTTAATTCCTTTTTGAAGTTGTGAGATGACAAATGGAATGTTTGAGCGCGTGCTAAGAACCATTCAGTGAACACTTTCTGATTGATCAGAGGCATGCAAGCAATGACGTTTGTCCAAAGACTCAGCTGTTGAAGATATGCGTCTTTGAATGGATGTCTCACCGGCTCCCCGAATTCCGTTAACCTTTGCGCTGTCCTGCAGGCCCCACCCGTTCTCCGAGGAGCCGGTGCGTGGCCCTGTCTGACGTCACTGTGACATCACAGGTGTGAGCGCAGTAAGGTGCGCGGTCCGGCCGGTGAGGAACCAGTGAGCGGACGGCCAGCGGGGAGGACGGTCCAGAGTGACTGACAGACACCGGGGAGGGATCGAGTCGCACGCAGCCGGCACAGGTCAGTCAGTAGGGGAGAGCGGACCAGAGTGACTGACAGACACCGGGGAGGGACCGAGTCGCACGCAGCCGGCACAGGTCAGTAGGGGAGAACGAACCAGAGTGACTGACAGACACCGGGGAGGGACCGAGTCGCACGCAGCCGGCACAGGTCAGTCAGTAGGGGAGAGCGGACCAGAGTGACTGACAGACACCGGGGAGGGACTGAGTCGCACGCAGCCGGCACAGGTCAGTCTGGGGGAGAACGGACCACTGCACAGTGACTGGCAGACACCGGGGAGGAACTGAGTCGCACGCAGCCGGCACAGGTCAGTCAGTAGGGGAGAACGGTCCAGAGTGACTGACAGGCACCGGGGAGGGATCGAGTCGCACGCAGCCGGCACAGGTCAGTCAGTAGGGGAGAGCGGACCAGAGTGACTGACAGACACCGGGGAGGGATCGAGTCGCACGCAGCCGGCACAGGTCAGTGAGCAGAGCGGACCAGATGAACCCGAGAGGAACTGATGATTTGGTCAGTGTCCGGACGGGCAAAGGGCTTGTATAAGGAAACGGTGTATCTTAGCCCGGAAAATGAGAGCATTATCCAATGTGTTTTGACTTTTGACCAGGAGTAAACATTTCTTGAAACTGAAGTAGTTTGAGTTTAGATCGCAGTAAAAATAAACTTGTTTGCTGTCGGATAAGCGCTTAGATAGCACACACAAAACTTACTATGAAAACACTTCGACGTGACTCCATGAGGCTGCACGCCGCTCGTTTATTATGCAGCCCAGTGTCGAAGCCATGAGGCTCCATCCGCGCGTCGCTGCAGTCGCCGTACGCTATCCTCAAGTTCGTCCCTGCAGTCCTCACGGGTTACGTTTGTGTGCGCTAGTGCAGTCTCCGTAGTTAGTAGGTTATGTTTATGTTCTAACCGTGCAGTCTCCTGTTACCCTCGTGTTTGCCCTTGCAGTCTCCATACGTTACGATTGTGTGCCTAGGTGCAGTCTCCACTGGTTTGGCTTCTGTCGTAAGCGATCGGTCGGTCGCTCGTCTTTACTTTGGTCTTTGCAATCTGAATCAAAATGTTGATTTCTCCCCGGCGTCTCCACTGACATCTGTTTATTCGTGCAAGGGATTTTTCACGTCAGAAGGCGTTGCCCAGTATCAACGATAATCTGGCAACAGCAATGGCATTGTTCATTACATTTGGGTGGCATCCCGGTTACTTTCAGTCAGAGTCTGAGGATGGTGACATCCCAAGTGAGTTCCAAGTTAGTCTGAATATGGTGACATCCCGAGTTCATTGGCTGAAACGGCGACTTCCTGGTACATGTCTCAGTCAGAGTCTGAGGACGTTAAAATCCCGGATGGGTTTCAGTCGGAGTCTGAGAATGGATTATCGTTTGTGTTTCAGTCAAGAGTCTGAGGATGGTGACATCCCGGTTCGTCCTGGCACCACTGGTGCTGGCTGCTGCCGTCTCGGCGCAGACGTTCATCAACTACTCCGGTGGTAAGCGTGAAAAAAGCATGACTGAGCTACAGCCTACTTTCAGCAATCGCCCACATTGCAAGGACGGCGGTGCTTATGAGGTGTCGTCCATTTGTGGCTTCCGTTTCTCGCTACTAAAAATGCGTGCTTAAATACGCGACAGGTAATACTCGACTACCTTCGGGTCTTTCGCCACGGCTTCTGCGGGAGGGGTATCCAGCTTGCATGTCTGTTTGGGTGGCTGTCTGCATGTGGGATGGAGGTGGGAGGCTTCTAAGGAGATGGTGGTAAACACATCGGTAGGAAGGAACGCCACACCCTAGTAACTGCGCTCAGTTTACATAACCTAATTAGAGTCAACTGAAAGCTAAGTGTTGCAGGCAGGTTTTTGGTTTTCTTTTCTGCCAAGCATGGTGATAAAACTGGACTAAGCACTTGTGCAATAATCAAGACTGCTTATCTTCATATTTTCATAATAATTAGCGCCATTGCAACTAATATCTAATAGTTATGCACACTTGTCGATAATGCATTACCTATCTATTATATATTTCTACCGTCAACTCTATGAACAAAGCTGTTTCCCCTGTCAGCCTACTTTTTTCAACAATGCACTGCAAAGTAGCTCTTATCCTAAAGCAGCCCGTACAGCTGTAAATAAATACTTCTCAGCAGTCCGATTGCCGGAGCTGTATAAATTCAGCATGCCTCAGTTTGTCTTCTGCACGCCGCCTGCCGCCCAGGCCGCCGCTCTGAGGCCGCGCCGCGTCGAGCCGTGTCTGTGTGCCCCTGACCAGCGAGTGTCTGTCTGTGTGCGTGTGCCGCCGGCGGCACGCAGTTCCCAGTCAGCTGGGTCTGTTGCTTCAAGGAGGGTACGCGCGCAGCGGCGTCGACCCGTGCCACCCGTCCCCGTGCGGGCCCAACACCGAGTGCAGCATCAACCACCGGGGCGTGGGCGTGTGCCGCTGCCTGCCCGGCTACTTCCCCAAGCCGGACACCGTCACCGGCTGCGGACCGCAGTGCACCAGGTGAGCGCCGGGCGTCGGAAGGAGGGGACAGGGGAGACTAAGAGCATGGGGCTGAGATGGCAATGGGAAACCTGAGGTAAGGGAAGGCCCAGGGAGACAAGGGAGACGAGAGTATGTGGGGGAGAGCTGATGAAATCGGGGAGACCCGAACACGGGTAGCGCTTACCTGCACTGGGTGAGATCCGAACTTGGAAAGGAGCAGCCCTCAGGAGATGGATTGGGCAGTCGTAGCGGCAGGAGAGGACCTCACGCCCGCGGGCAAGACTCTGAGGGAGATGTGGATCTCGATTAGGACATATTATATTAACTGATAAAAGGCCGATTATGGACAGCATCAAAACACCCTAAACGCAGCCGATGATCAACTGCACCGTCGAAACCTTATGAGCCTCATAATTTTACGCGCGCTGATTAACGTAATGATCAGCATAGAAGATGCTGATTTTCGGAGATCTTTTAGACGCCAGGGAGCCACTCAGTTTGTCACAGCCCATCAATTATTCAGCTATTAATACATGTACTTTTGGCGATGCGGAGGCTGTTTTTCCATTATGTTTTGCCTCCGCCCGTCTGAGGGAGATAAGATGAGCCCTAATGGCCGGGGTGCCACCACTCAAATTACACGTATCTGGAGGCTTGCGTGGCCTGTTCCATGTTTTATGGAGCAGCTGGTGCGTCTGCGACCGGTCGCCCACGCCTGCCTCTGTCGAGGTCGGTGGATAGGAGCCGATGCCATGGAGGGCGGTTAGCAGCTCCGACCGACCGGGAAGGTCGGCGGTCGCCATCGGTTTCGCAAATCACATTAACCGTCAGCAGCTGGAGACCAAACTATCATTACGGTTCTACTGGGACCCTTGTGGTCCATTACATTTTCATTTTTCCTCGGTTCTGTTTTATGGAAATTCAGTTATTTACACAGCAGCGTCATGAGTGCTGCACTCATAGCAAATAGCTTCCCGTGTTCCTTTGCAAGACGAACACTTCTGCTGTTTTTTTTTTCTGGACCTTTCAGCCTTCTGTTCTGCTAACTCATCACAGTTTAGGAACACTGTTATTGTTGTAACCAAACACCTGCGACGGTGTTTTTGTAACGCCCCCACAGCTCTCTCCCAGGGACCGAGCCGAGTTAGCGGATGTTCTGACAGCAGTCCCATCACCTACCAACACTGTCCTCCCCCGCGGAACAACCGACCCGAGGTCAGACCCCTGACCTCCGGCCTCCTCCCTCCGACCTCCCGCCCCTCACCCTCTCCTCCGACCCCCTCCCCCCCCCACCCGTTCCGACCAGCGACGGGCGGACGGGTAAGGACCCCTCACCCCCTCCCCCTCTGCCAAATCGACCCGGTGCTGGGCAACACCCTTGTCCCTGTACCCATCACTCGTCTTTCGCCCACTCGGGAGCCGACAGAGGACCCTGAAAACAGAGCTGACCTTGGGCGCGGGCCGCGGTCACGGCACCGGGGGCCCGACCCGGACCGGACCCCGCTGACCGGTGACCCCGCGAGGGCAGGTCACAGGGAGGTCACCAGGTGGGACATCACCTCTGAACAGGTCCCCAGATGGGGTATCAGCCCTGTACCGCTGTCACCGCGGCAGACAGAGCCGGCGGACGGCCCAGGTGTGCAGGGCAGACCGGCCGGCCCGCCCCGCCCCGCGTGGGAGGGACCTTGGACGTGAGCAGATCGCTCGGGATCGCCAGCCAGTAATTTATTCGCTCAATGCAAATGATGTGCGATGTCCTACAAATGTGGCACGGAGGCCGAGTCGAGCGGCGGGGGCGCGTCGTCGGGTTGCGAAACGCGACACCGCCACCGCGGGGAGAGGACACGGTAATGACTCGAGAAACGACGACCCCTGTTTGCAAGTACGACAGGGAGATAACTCGCAGAAAACTCCGTGTAAGGGGAGTTGCATCGCTCCAGCACAATAAAACCAATGCAATGAGAAGTTAATCAGGCTGGAAGCCGTTTGGGGCCAAAAAGGAGCATTCAAACATTCACAGATCACGAGGATACTACACGATAAATCCATCAGACATGATTTGGGTCAGGCAGCCAGGTAGAGCGAACCTGTCTCATCAACACACCACTGACAACGCATCAAACACAAAGCAGAGAGTTGATGACGCAGAATAGAGAAATAACCAAACCGGACGGCAGGCCATAAGTCTTCCGAAATATCGGCGACTGATGCATTCAGACCGCGACTCGAGAGCACCAATCTGACAGTGCCTCCTCTCCCGGTCGGCAGCGACTCCGAGTGTCCCGGCTACCGGTTCATCTGCCGCAACCAGAAGTGCGTCGACCCGTGCCAGGACGGAAACCCGTGCGGCATCAACGCCGAGTGCAACGTGGTGAACCGAGCGGTCCGGTGCACCTGTCCGCCCGGCTACGAGGGCAGCCCCTACAGCCGCTGCTCGCTGGCCTCCATCACAGGTCAGTGCCGAAATAGTGTGTATCAGGCAGTGCGGAATTTTGTTATTTATCTCTAATGAATCCAACCAACGCGTTGCAACGGTCGTATACATAGGCGTCGCCAGAGATTTTCGGTTGGGGGGGGGGGGGGGCAAAATCAACTTTTGTGTTAAATCTTGCCTTTCCCCAGTCGTTACTCACTCGTTTTACATATCGTTCGACGCGCAATGGTGCGAAGAATTCGATGGTGACAAAGTTTTCCTTCTAGCTATGACATGCAACTTCTTTACGGAGAAATTCGAAATTTTCAAATTTCTGGACAAAAACGACCGGTAGAATTACAGTGGCTGCGTTGCCGACGCACTGCAGAGGGCCCTTGTGCAGACTCTCGTCGCTCATGATCATTACCCAGAAAAAGGTGACAAACGCTCCATTTAATCCGATCACCCTGCTAAAACCTCCATTCACGCATGCATGCAGAGGTTTTACGTGAAATGCATAGGGCTTATCCCAGCCGCCGATTGTAGCGAAGTTGGGCATTCGCCGGAGACTGAGAGTGAATCTCGGAAGTGTGAATCGGAAATAATTCATCTTTGCTCAGTGAGAGGAAGTGTTTTGTTCACTCGAGTGTGAACAAAACGTTTCTCGTTTTTCGTGTGAAGGGAAGCGCTGCAAACGTGAACAAAAAATGTTTAACGGAACCAAACGTTACGCACGGCATAGCGGCAAGGGATCCCTTAGAGATAGGCTTGGGACTTCCAAGCCATTTCAGGCCACTCATGATCAGTGTGGACTCTCAGAAGCCTGCTTAGGACACCTGAGATCGGTGTGGGTCATCCCAAATATTTACGTGTATGTGGTGCTTTGGGGCTTTCCGAGCCCAAGGTGGGACCCACAGAAGCCAGTGTAGTCGGCGGGCGCTAAGAGACTGGGCCCAGGGTAAGCCTGGAGCCCTCGGATAACAGTGTGAACCGTCGGGGTCTGTGTCGAATCCCTTAAGACCCTACGAAGGGACATAAGAAACATGTGTTGCGGCCCTCAGAGGTGCACGTTAGTTGTGATCCCTCAGATGCCGGCTTGGGGTTACCAAAGTCTGTCGCTGAAAAGTTCGACTGAACTATCCGAGGCCAATTAAGGTTCTCAGAAATTTTCGAAGGCATCCTCAAAGATTCGTGTGTCCCTTCAGAGGTCTACATAATGCATAAGGTCCTCAAGTCAAAGATCCCTGTAACGATCCCTCAAAGATCCCTGTTATGGGCCCTCAGAGAGCATGGACACCAGTGGGACTTTCAGAGGCCGGTTTGGGCCCTTTGAAAGCTTCTTTAGGGCTCAGTGGAGCTCCTTAGGAGCCTGTGTGAAAAGCAAGCTCATGAGGCCTGCGGCACTTGAACGGTAGTTGAGCCTGTCACACACATTTGGCGAGAGTTGAGAAAGGCCGCGAAGATTTCGTGTCACGCTTTGAACGAAAATTATGTGTCAGTAGGCTCCAAAACTTATGAAAACCAGCTATAAAATGTAATAAAGAACCAACTAGGAACATGGAATGAATCACAGCATTGGCATTTCTGAGTCTGGAGTCGGAGTCTTGAAGATTTTTGGCGACTGCGACTCTGACTCTTGTTTGAACTGCACGCTCCAACCGAGTCTGACCTCACAGACATTCTCCGAAAGGTACCCCCATTTTTTCCCGACTCGAAAATCTCATCGGATCTGCATCGATCTCAGGGGGTGCCCGGTCCGAGGTTGGGGGGGGGCGGCAAGCTGCCCCGCTTGCCCCCCCCCCCGTGGCGACGCTAATGGTCGTATACCTGAGGTCATCCAGATCTCAGTTTGTGTTCTGGTGTTCTGATCTTATTTGACCCCCTGTCCAAGCCTCCTGTCGTACTCTGACGCTATAATCAGTCATTCTAACCTCAGGTCATGCGCTGACAGCTGAGCAACTGACTCACCGTTTTGTCCTTACGGTCGTGCACTGACCCCACTTCCCTCTGTCTCTCCCCAGCTCGTGCCAGTGGCCCCATTTACCGCGGCTCTCACAGCAACACCGTCTACCGCACCCGGAACGCCATCGGTGAGTCTATAGGACTAACCAGTGTCTTCTACAACCGGGGTCGTAGGACCAGAAGAACTGGGAGGCAGTGACTGATAGGAGTTAGTCTCAGTCAGCGGAACCCAAAAGGGGATTAAAATCTCCTCAGGGGTTTTACATAGCAAACTTTGGCTGCCAGATTTTCTTAGACAATACCTAGACATCCGCCTGTCATCCACTAACTACCTGAGAACCGCAAGTTGCCGAGCTTGCGGCCTTATATTGATGCCGTCACGAGACGCGCCAATATCTACTGTCACTGAATATGCTCGTCAGGACGAGATGGTGCTAGCATATTCCCTATTCAGTGTCAGTTAGCACCGATATAGCGGCGGGAAGCGATGAATATAAAGGAGCGGCTTTAACATCCGCGCGTGACGCGCACATCGCGGGCAGTAGCCATTGGGTCACTGCAAATCTGTGCACCGGCATTGTCATTCCACAAGGCCGCCGGATGGAGCCGACCTTGAGACGCCCGTGCACGCATACTCGTACTGATACGGATACCGATGGCACATATGGTGTCTGCAAGTGGTGCGTCATCGGACGGCGCAAGGACCTTGCGGTCGTAAAGAACGGACCGGTCGCGACACCAGGAAACTGGCCACTCTCAGGACCGGGGTGGACAATCGTGTCACAAGGACGAAGTTAATTGGGGTGCAAGGTGAAACGGAATATTTATGCGGTTCATGCCGTCCGCGAATTAGCTTTATTTTGTGACGGCAAAAATGAGTTTCCTTTTCATTGTTGAACAAAGGTGCTATCACTTCTTCCTGCATAATGTGACGTCATGTGACCTAAGGTCCTTGGGAAATACGCAGTGTAAGACGTGCAGGTAGCTAGTTACTTGCGCCCGGCCATTCTCTTGACTTGCGCCTGGCCATTCTCTTGACAGATCTATAAAATACCAGTTCGGTGTTTTACGTGTTCGGTGTTCAATACGTGGTGAACTGTATGTGACCTGACCTGACCCATTTCAGTGAGCCCGCCGGCGCCTCCCAGCGACCCCTGTTCGGGCACCGTGTGCGGCCCCAACGCCGAATGTGATGCTGTCAACGGACGAGCGGTGTGCTCGTGTCCGGCCGGTTACCAAGGCAACCCGCTGACCGGCTGCCGCCGCGGAGAGTGCACCGGTGAGTCCGCTGGTTACCAAAGCGACCCGCTGGGGGATGCTGACAGGGAGGATGTGTTGATAAGTGACTCGTCTCAAAGCAGTGTGGGGTGCCCGCTGCACAAGGCGTGTATCCTGAACTAACTCGTGACCTCACCCGTGACCGTCGGTGCCTACAGACGACGTGGAGTGCCCGCTGCACCAGGCGTGTATCGACCTGCGGTGCCAGAACCCGTGCTCGGTAGGAGTGTGCGGCTCCGGGGCCGACTGTAACGTGGAGAACCACGGCGCCATCTGCAGCTGTCCGGTGAACCACATCGGCGACCCCTTCATCAGCTGCCGATACGACCCCGGTGAGGACGGCGGAGAGGAAGGAAAGGGAGATGGTGCTGTGTTCTACTAGGTGTGGGGAGACGCACGGAAACAGGGGCAGGTAGAGGAAGAGGAACGGTGCTAGCACACAGATCGTAATAAGATAGAAACAAAGGGATAGGTGGGCAGAAATAGTCATCAAAAGATCTGATGAACTGACAGCAGACCACCGACTGGCTTGCATTACAACTACCGACAATAAGACCACCTGGGTGTACCCGGCGCTCGGGCGTCCCCTTGGCGCACTCGTGTCTTCTTGTCATGCCTCCCTCCGATCAGCAGCGTCCTCTGACCTCCGCCTGAACTCCGTCTGACCTCCGTATCACCACCGTCCACCGCAGAGGCCGCCTGCTCGCCGTCTCCGTGCGGCACCAACACCAACTGTAAGGTGGAGGGCGGCCGGGCCGTCTGCAGCTGCATCCAGAACTACATCGGCAACCCGCTGTCCGGCTGTCGGCCAGAGTGTGTCTCCAACGGCGAGTGCGCCGGCCACCAGACCTGCGTCCAGGTGAGGGCTGCCCCGGAACTCGAGTGCTCAATAAACACTAAAGAACACTTGTAAGCCAAGCTCACAGATGTTGCTCACAGTCGGCTGAGGATTTCCCTCGCCCCCACTGACCCTCCTCCCTCTCCCGCCCTCAGAACCGGTGCCAGAACGCGTGCTCGGAGGGCGCCTGTGGCCAGGGGGCTCGCTGTGAGGCGGTCAACCACCGGGCCGTGTGCAGCTGCCCTCAGTACTACCGTGGCAACGGCCTGACCGGCTGCTACCCCGAGTGCACGAGCCACAGCGAGTGCGCCGCCCACCAGGCGTGCTTCCAGCTGCGCTGCACCGACCCGTGCGCCGGCGCCTGCGGGGTCGGCGCCGAGTGTAAGGTCACCAACCACAAGGCCATCTGCTCGTGCCCCAAGGGCTACGAGGGTCACCCGTTCGACAGCTGCCGGCCGGCACAGCCCAGTGAGTGGGGCGGGATGGCAATACCGGGCTGGACCCGATCGGGACGACTACTCGGGGATGGGATTGACCGCGAACGGAGAACTGAGAGGCAGTTCAGGCAACGGACAAAGGGGCATGATAGCCACGGGGCATATAGATAGGGACACGAGGGACGAAAGTGAACAGGCAAGCCCAGCTCAACTTGAAGAATAATCTCGCAAACCACAGCGACATGCCATCGTAAGCGTTTAGCTTGACCCGGCCATGCTCGGGGGAGAACGCGTAGTCGGCAGTCGTGTAGCACGTGTAGCAAATGTGCGATCGGCAACTGGGTTGACCTACAATCGATCCATCTCTTGCTTCCCGGTTGACCGGACGGGACCCTTCTAACCCTGCAGAGGACCTGTGTTCGCCAAACCCGTGCGGCCAGAACGCCGAGTGTAACCCGGGCACGGACAACACGGGAGCGCCGCGGCCCGTCTGCACGTGCCCGCGCGGCTACTTCGGAAACGCCCTCTCCTTCTGCCAGCGCGGAGAGTGCGAGGTAAGGGGTGATAAAAGATGGAGAGGAGCATAATGGGAGAGGCACCGTTCCGTGCTTCTATCCTCAGGATACTGAAATCCTTCTCCTCCACGCCGCAACCCCCCTCCGGGCTGGACAGGCAACTTTATCTCATGCGGGCTGCTCTCTTAGAGCGGCACCGCTGCTCCTGAGGGAGCGCACCCCGTAGCCGGGTGCAGTGAGTGCCTTGGGGCTGGGTGGCCTGTCCTCTGGACGGGCTCAGCCCCGGCGACTCACTAGGGTGCCTGCCCAGACCAATGTCTCCCCCTAATTCCTATCATCCTTCCGGCTCTGCAATGGTCTTGTCAGACCGAAAGGGCCTAACCCAACAAAACAAAAACAAAAACAAAAATAATGGGAGAGGGCATGGAGAGCAGGGAGCGATAAAATTGAGACAATGTTGTGCTGCGCTTAGTGGTCGATAACATCAGCAGCATAGTAGAGCAAGCCTTTCTATTCGAGCATCACTCTGTAATGTCCCTCCACCCATGTCGATGTCAGCTCTGGACGTTGACCAGACACGAGACCGGTTCGCCCAACACCCGCAGTGAACCAAAGCTCCCGTCTATCCCCAGACTGCGGCCGACTGCAGCTCCAGCCAGGCCTGCTACGGCTACCACTGCCGCAACCCGTGCATCAGCGAGGCGGGCGGCAGCGTGTGTGGTACCAACGCGCTCTGCAACGCCAAGAACCACAAGGCGGTCTGCTACTGTCCGCAGGAGTACACCGGCGACCCGCTCACCGAGTGCCGCCTGAAGCCCGTGGCCAGGAGGTGAGCCGGAGAGGGAGTGGCGACGGGAGGATGGGAATAATCTATAGTCTATACCCGAGTGGAGCACAAAGTACGACTTCAGCCCAGCTGTGACGAATGGGTAGAGAGTTAAGAGTTAGGTAAGCCTTCCGGGTTCGGCTTGTAAGCGATGTTTTCCCAATCTCTGGGAAGAATCGGTTCAAACGTCGAGTGAGTTTCGATACCGACAGCTACTGACGGTTTTCCGTTTTCACGTCCTACAGCAACATCCGGCGCTACAAGCGTTTCCTGGACGGTCTGCTGTCTCTGGCCAGGAAGGAGGCGGAGCAGGAGGCTGCCGAGGAGGCTACTGAGGAGCAGTGAGACGGGAGCGACTTCACAGACCACGGCAGACGACAGCGAGTCAGGAGTCGATGCAGTGTGACAAGCGAGAGAGGGCGTAATGTCACAGGGAGAGAGATTCAGTGTAGCGTGACGCTGGAACAGCGGAGGACTCTGGCCCATACGATCGTGGTAAGCGGTAGTAGCTGGAGATGGTACAGCCATCTGGTGGATAGCATTACCCAGGCAACAAACTAGATGGCGCCTGGTTGGAGAAATATGCATCGTTTAGGCTGCAGAAGCCGTTCCTTAGAACTAAGAGGGATGCCTGACTGTCTAAAACGTCAGGGCGAACTGCAAAGGACACCCCGGCGGACTTCTAGGCGCCCTGGCGGCCTGCTAAGCGCCGTGGCGGACTGCTGGGGGCGCTGCCGTCGAGGTCATTAGTCTCTCTGGCACTATGTGCTCGCACAGTCCACGACAACTCATTAACTCATGCGCCGTTCAGCATCGGGCCTCGCCGAGCCCGCGGGCCCCTCATACTCATCTCACGGGACCGGGACGCTGCCGGCTGCTCTGGGGCCAGGCTGACCTCACCCGAACCGGCCGGGTCGGTAGGGCTGCCCGGCTCCCAGGGCAGTGTGCCCCGCCAGACACTCATCACACAGGGCTAACATAAACCGCGGTTCAGCGCGCTTCATTACTACATCCAGTGTATGTGTGTTCGTGTGGCACCTTGTGGTTTTAACATGTCAGAGATAAGACAATACACCGTCTAGCGAGACGAATCGCCCTGTTTTTAAGCGTGAAAGACCGAGACTGTGTCACTTCATAACGTTGATAGAGAAGCCAGACAGCAATGTAGACATCTTTATAAAACAGCATCACAGCTCAACAGCATGTTGACCAATAACAAGAACACTCATAGACCAACCCATAGACCAACGTGGTGAGATCCCCAGACACTGTCGGTGTGCCAATGACCCCCCCCCCCCTTCCCGCGCACCCAGACCAACTGCCGCGGCTCACGTGTCTTCCGCTCCGTCGGCGGCGGCCTCCTCTGGCGGACCGGGCAGCAGCGTCTTCACCAGGTTCAGGATCTCCTCCACCTCCTCGTCCTTGAGACGCTCCTCGGACTCCTCGATAATCTGCGGCGGGATGCGGTGCGACGCTGGGGTTAGGAAAACACAGAAGTGCAGATCGGTAAACAGGTTAAAGGTAGTGTGCCACCTTTGAAAGATTTCCCATTTTATTTTTCCTAGGATAAGAAGCTTCTGTTTTTACCTAATATCGCAAAAAAAAATCAAAAATGGGCCTGGAATAGTGCCTTTTTCGCCTAAAAGTTTATCGGTTTTTAGATATGTATAACAAGGGTCCGTATCAAAGCGTCCAAAACCGCAGCATCCAAAGTACGCAACATCCAAAACCGTAGCGTCCAAAGTACGCAACGTCCAAAATACGTCCAAAATCGGGTTTATAGGGGGCATTCACAAAGTTCAAAACCGAAACATCCAAAAACGCAACGTCCAAAAACGTATCATCCAAAAAACGCAACATCCAAAGTACGTAACCTCCAAAACCACAACGTCCAAGACCACGACATCCAAGGCACGCAACATCCAAAACCAACCTAACCTAACCTAACCTAACCTAACCTAACCTACTGATTTTTGCCTATCCCTAACCCAACCTAACCTAACCTAACCTCACCTACTGATTTTTGCCTACCGGGGATAAGGAAACCCAACCTAACCTAACCTAACCTAACCTAACCTAACCTAACCTAACCTAACCTAACCTAACCTAACCTAACCTAACCTAACCTAACCTAACCTAACCTAACCTAACCTAACCTAACCCAACCTAACCTAACCTAACCTAACCTAACCTAACCTAACCTAACCTAACCTAACCTAACCTACTGATTTATGCCTACCGGGGATAAGGAAAGCTAACCTAACCTAACCTAGCCTAACCTAACCTAACCTAACGGTTTTGGATGTTGCGTACTTTGGATGTTGCGTACTTTGGATGATGCGTCCTTGGATGTTGCGTTTTTGGATGTTGCGGTTTTGGATGTTTCGGTTTTGGACGTTGTGAATGCTCCCTATATACCCGATTTTGGACGTATTTTGGACGTTGCGTACTTTGGACGCTGCGGTTTTGGATGTTGCGTACCTTGGATGCTGCGGTTTTGGACGCTTTGATGGTCCCCCGTATAACAACTGTAGTGGGCTCACCTGCAAACAGGCGTCGGGCAACAATCGCGAATGCGGCGCACTTGTGACAATAAGCAAAGGTCATTATAGTGTTACGACCATACGACGTACGGGAATGAGTTATCAGCTGTCTAATCGTAGACAACACAATGTCGAGCCTTAAACTGTAAGCCCGTATTGGTATTGTTTCTTTTATTTGGCTGTCGAACATTATTTATGGTTTGAAATATGATTTTATGTAAAATAATTGATATGAAAAAGCCGTCTTATAAGTTATGACCCCATTTCACCACACGCAAGTGGCAGAAATGACAATGATCAGCTGACGCATTTTTCTTGGCCGAAGTCAGAGCGCGCAGCCCGACGCACCACCACCGCACCACAAAGTATGAGCAGAAGCCGCGCCCAAAGCCAGGGCCCCGGTAACGTGAGGTAGCCGGGTCGGGGCAGCGTGCGCTGACCCAAGCCGGGGCCGCAGCTTTGGGCGCGGTCTACCGCATCCCCGCGGGCAGCCCCGGGCTATCACATGACACCGGGAGGACGCGCGGCTCCGGCTTGGGTCAGCGCACGCTGCCCTGACTCGGCTACCTCACGTTACCGGGGCCCTGGCTTTGGGCGTGGTCTACCGCACCACCTAACAGGCGTGTTCGAAACCGCAAGAGCTGATGATGAACGGGTTTATCGAAACTTGATTGGATGAGCATATCGGTAATAGCGATTTCAGTGTGTGCATTTATTGTTCATAGTGGTGTGAAATGTGGTTGGGGTACGACCGACAACCCGTCGGGGCGAATTTCGCACTGGGGTACTCAAAATTTGAAGAATTTAAGACGTTTCCATGAGTTTTGAAGGTATGGATAAGTTCTAAAAATCCGGTTCTCCTTATCTGGGCCATTAACTCCATACGGTCCAGGAAAGCTGGCACACTACCTTTAACGGAACAAAGCTGACAGGATATCCGCAGAAGAGTTACAAAATCTCTATTGACACTACGAACTTAGCACCCGACCCAGCGAGACACGAGTAGGACACCATCGAGACGTCTGACAAAGAGAGTTGTTGATCGCAGGGTATCCCGCAGGACAGCGCCCCTCTTAACTTTTCTCTAGTTGGCCGAGCAGCGAACCCCCATAGTCCGCCCGCCGTGAGCCCTGGGCGAGGGCACGGCACCCAGCAGGCACCCAGCGTCACTCACCAGCTGAATCTCCACGGCGGAGGTAGGCCGCGTGTTGAGCAGCTGCAGCTTCTCCGACTTGGTCAGCTGGAACTTGGTCAGGGCCAGCAGGAACTCGCGTATGCAGCGCTCAGACTGGTACTTGCATGGAGTGCTCTCCAAGAACCTCAGCGTCTACAGCACAGAGAGACAACACATGGTGAGAAAAGCACAAGGATGACATCACACCCCTCAACATCCACAGGAGTTACACAACAGACCCAGTGTGTGCCTGGAAAGCACTGGGCCGATGACAGTGATATATGACGATGGATTAGGGTTTGTGATAGTCATTGGCGCCCAGACTTCCTGCTCCTGGTTACATATGTAGTACAGCAGTTCAAAAAGAATGTACGCAGCTAATGGATGATCTAAAAAGAGGGAAGATCAATATGATCCAGAGGTCCTACATCGTTGTTGTTTCCAGTAACAGACTTCAGAATGGATGGTAATGACTAAGTCTGGTCAGTTTTCTGTCAGTGACATCATCTCAGCTAAAGAATGATAAGACCAAGGCCCTAAATACAGGATAAGACATCAAAATCACTGCTATAAAAAGGAACATAAAAGCAAAAGAGAACTGATAAGATATTCACTCGCGATGAGATCGACCAACAGGCAACAATTACGACATCAAATGTACCTATGTAAATTTCCAATGCATGCCAATGTTCTCAGTTTATAGTGACATTCTTATGAAATCTTATTTTGCTAATTCTTGCTTGACAGCAGAGCCAACTTACCTCATATGTAATAGTGGCCAAATTCTTCTGTTGACTTTTCTTCTTCTTACCAGACGATTGTTTCTTTACATCTTGCAGGAGCTCATATACCTCAAAGTTGCAGAGTACTGCACTGCTTGCATCAAGTCTGAAACATATAATAGGCAGATATAATTAGTTATGTTGATAGACAATGTTATGTATCTTACATGATTATATATTTAAGCATATATGCATTATATATCTCTCAGTATCAAAACAGTGCCAACAACAATTTTCCATTCACCATAAAATTACAAGGCTTTTGGTTTGGAATCAGGTGCATACTTACATTTCCATTTTGTCCACTTGTCAAGAAATTATGCAAAAACTTCTCTATTAGAAATACCATGAGACCTTTTTACCTGAAATAGTTAGAGTAAGGCTCAAGTTCTAACACTGCCACCTATGTACAAGAGCAGCTGTATAAAGTGGATGCTACACTCGCAGCTTGAACCTACCCAGCCAGCCATCCCAAATGGGGCCCACATGGGCTGGAAGTGGGGAATCTGGGCGAATGTGGGCCGGGCTACATCTGGGTATGTCATGGGCGTCCAACTAGGTCCCAGATGGACTAAATGGGCTAACTTTACGTGCTGGACTTGGCCGGCGCCTCCACTGTGCCACTACCCTGACAGACTCCTGATCTGGCAGCCGCCTGGGCACACCCCTGCCCGCGTCCCTGCGAGGTCGCTGATACTGTATCGCCGGCGTTCGTTGTGTGGTGGCGCGGCCGCGGGCGGCATCCACGCTTCCGTTCTCTACCGGCCGCCGGCCGCCCACCTGCAGTGATAGCGTAGTGTAGTGGTTAGGGTCCCCGCATCATGTTCCATTGGTCTTGAGTTCGAATCTCTGGGGATCTAGTGAGAGACAAAGGGTACGCGGTTCTCCCACGTGTGACCATATTGTTTTTTTTTTTATTCACGCGGAAATAGTGGACGACATAAGCTAGGTACCAAATCCCAATTAAAATCCATGTCTGCCTTTTGCATGTGTCCGTGTGAGTCCCAACTGGGAAAACCCGTGTGGGACCCATATACATACATATATCCCAGCTGGGTCCCACATGGGCCCCATCTGGGGTGCCCAGATGGGACCCAGTTGGACGCTCATGACATTCCCATCTGGGTCCAAGGTGGGCAGCCCAGATGGGTCCCAGTTTGGTGCCCACTTGGGGCCCATGTGGGCCCCACTTGGGAAGGCTGGCTGGGTTGCTGCAGTGCCTACAAATGAAAATCAGCCTGCACTCTGCAGCCATCCTGCAAATGACCTCACTCCTGAACAAAAACATGTGCATAGAATTATATTATTGGTCTGCATGCATTTTGTGATTTGTATTAAATGGAACATGATCTTCGTGAGGGAAGCCGCAAAGCCACCTAATGAAAATGGAAAACTACCTATACTGTATCGTCTGTATCTATGCATTTGCAACGTCATCAGTGGGAACAGCATGAGCGGACTGCAATAGATCTTTTGCAAGCAGATACCCTTCATAGTTTATTTTCCCCACAATTATCCCAGAATAAATGGATATTGGATCATTCCTCTCCAACACCTTCTCTTAGCATGTACATGTTGCAACACAAGGATACATAATTCAGCCCTTTATTATCTATTTCAGCAAATAGGTACCTGCCAACTTCATAATTGCAATGGAGGATTCTGAAAAGAAAATGGAGAAAAGCAAAAATCTGGGTATAATAGGGCTTCACACTGTTCCAGCATTGGAACTGTGGCTTCTTCCTAGTTCCAGCATTTTATTCCCCTAGTGGATTAACCCTGTCTAACATTTAGGCATATAGGGACCCACTTGGGGTCACAGTTGTTTTTGCCACTTGCCCCAGTTGAGATGTAAAGTTAATAGTCAGTAGTCACACATGGCTTAAGTAGGGTCAGCCAAACCAGTCTAGTCCCAAATTATTGTCAATATTTGTATATAGAGGAAAGAAAAGGCTTAGTAAAATCGATCTATTTTGAAGTATTGCATTCAGATTTCAGGGGCCCTACCTAAGCATTAACTATCAGCTTTGCATCTCAACTGGGGCAAGAGGTGAGAACAGCTGCTGCCCTGAGCCAGAGCAGGTTCTGAAAGGCTAAATGCTGGATGGGGCTAACCCACCCAGAGCATACTAGACTGAGAACAATACGACCTGACTGTGACTTGGACTCTTTTGACCTGACAAGCTTTTGAAGAAAAAAAACTGAGACAGGGAAAACCTGGCCATCTGGTTAATACAAAAAGGGCAAATCGACTCATTTAAATCCAATATAACAATGACAAATTCCTGCCATGCTGATGTACAAGTCACAACCAAGAGAGCAAAAAAGCACATAATGGATGGGTCCTAATTGTAATCATAATCAATGCATGGAGCATGGCATTATGCATATATCAACTCAATCAAGGCCTCTCACACAGGGGCGTCGTTTTGTATAGGCCTGGGAGTGCCCGAGCACTACCAATGTTCAGCTGAGCACTACCAATGTGTTGTTGAGCACTACCAACATTTTTCTTCACTTATTGAGAAAATTGCATTCAAACATGTCATACAAATAAAATGAATGAGGTTCTTATGTATAAAATCAACATGATAGCAAGTAACTTCAATGGTAAGTGGTAACTATTGATGAAAATCTATAGACTTACTCCACAAGTAGATTGAATTTGAATTGGTTGACCAATGCAATCTTCTTGTAGCGTACCTAAGTCCATAAATTTCCATCAATACCTAGGTATCATTTTCACTTTCCACGACCACATCATGTCATTACGTCAAGTAATTTCAAGTTATGTGGTACCTACCTACCTACCTACCTACCTACCAAGTTTCACAATAGTCAGGGGCGTCGTTTTGTATAGGCCTGGTAGGGCCCGAGCCTTACCAATGTTTATTTGGGCCCTACCAATGTTCGCTGAGCCCTACCAATCTTTTGTCACTTATCAGTTGATAAAAATCAAAATAAACAGATAAGCAAATATTAAATAAGCACATATGCAGTACATAAATAAGGTTCTAGCCACAGTAGGTGCATGTAGCTGACAATGAGGTTTCACGTGTCCAGGACTCCGGTCCTTAATGGATTTTAAGAGGCTCGAAAACGCAATTGGTTATAGAGGTCCATAACTGCCTCTGAGTCCCGCATACCACGCGACCGCCCCCTAATAGACCCCGATCCGTCTCCACACCAGCCGCTGGAGGCCCTACACCGACTTCGGAAGGTGCCGCGGTGCTCCAGAATAGGCCATAGGTATATTGATTTGAGCAAGGATTTGAGTGGGTGATGCAGCCTGATTCCCCAGGGTTCAACGCCAACTCATTACCGCATCAGACCCCGAAAACTGAAGCTCGTAACTACGAGGGGCGTTCAAAAAGTTTCGGGCCGAACAATGAAGGAGTTGGAATTTTACCCTGCAAGGCGGTGTGTTAAATGATGTGTTATTGGGATGTCCACTTACGCAAATTAAGTAAGTGGCCATTAATTAAGTCTCTTCTGTGATTGATTCGGGCTTCTATTCGTAGCATAGTTCGCCATTTCGGATAGGATGGGCGACGCCCAGAAGAGAGCAGTGATTCGTTTCATAGTAGTTAGTGCAGAAAAGGCACCAAGCGTTAACCCTCGCCCTGGGCATTTTTCATAACACGGCCTGGCAGGGGGAGGGGTCGATGCGACCCCCCTCCGCTCGTCAACTTTCCAAAACAGGGGCACACAATTGATGATGTGCGTCCATTCGATAAACATCGAGGAGAGGCTATAGGGAAGCTGATGTAAAGTGTGCACCTGATCCGCGACCACGCACCTGCGCACATGGGCGGGATGACGAACAGTGAAGCGATGAGCTTCGAGTTGTTGTCGCATCCACTTTTTTCTCTCCGAATCTTGCACACTCTGGTTAGTGGTTACCACCTCTTCCCCAACATAAGAAAATTAGCAGCGGCAACCTCGCTAACAGCAGGGAGACGAAATCAGCCGTCTTGGACGTGCAGGATGGGTCCAAAACCCACTTGGTTATGGAGGCCTTGAGGGCTCTCGCGAAGCGCTGCGCGAAATGTGTTTGTCTTAACGGTGTTTATTTGAATAAATGAACTTTTTGGTCTAATGAGTCGATGCTGTATCTCTCTGCTCCTTCATGGTCGGGCCCGTAGCTTTCTGAACGCCCCTCGTACTGTCATCCTTTTATTTTGGCAAGCAGGTCTTTCTAACTATCGTTGTGTTTCCAGTCCTCGTTAGTTGTTGAACCCTTCAATTGGCGTGGGTCTTCAAAACCGTTCCTGGCCCCGCAGCCGTCTTTTTTAGTCGGCTTGGGCCCTCAAAGCTGTTCCTGTCCCCTTTCAGCACAGCCGTCCTTTTAAGTCGATGTGGGCCTCTTTCAGAATGGCGTGCATTCCTCCGACACTATTGCCTATATAACTGCACGTTTTGTGCATGGCGTCCGGTGTGGACCCAGATTTCCAAAGTTTTTTTTGTGTTTTTTTTTAGATTTCGGTTAGTCTTGTCAATTATCGGGGTTACATGAGCACAGTAAATACGTATTTAGCCGCTAATTCGAATTAGGAACGCATTACCGACTCATGTAGCCACCTGCTAGTACGAATCGGCGATCCGATCCGCGGTTACATGAGCAAAGCAAATACGTATCACGATCGGATTCACCGCTAATGCGAATCAGGAGCGTACTACCGACTCATGTATCCACCTGCTAATACGAATCGGCGGTCCGAACAAAATCCGCTGGGAAAGAGGCTTAGAAGCGAATAGGACCAAGATACGTATTACAGGAACTATTTCTTCGCAAAAAGAAACATTAAAATGCAAAATAATAGGTATTTTTTCATTTTCTTCTTTTGAAATAATATTTAAAAAAATATGTCGGTATGTTGTCAAGTTTTCAACAAAAAATTTAGAGAAAACCAAATAGTAAATATCCACATAATTTCAGTTGAAACATTTTTCTGACAGCACTACAGACGAATCAAGAGAGGCAATTGCCCAATGAGTCAAAGCAAGACAACTTTATGTTCAACCTTTTTTGTTAAGTTAATTGAGAATGTTTTGAGCAGATTAAATGCAAAAAAGACATAAGATAATAAATTTTTAATTTAGTCACCTCTATTGCTACGGAAGTGCGCCACATTTGTATGCTATTCCGTTTGTAATGCGCATCGGGCCGAGAGCCAAACTAGATCCGTTTGACGTCACTTACCGGGGTTACATGAGCGATCCGTTCCAAATACGCACTACGCTAATGCGCATCAGCTCCCCACAAACGTATCTACGGCACCGGTTACATGAGACTAATTCGTTTTATCTACGTCAAACGGATCTTGTTTGGCTCACCCGGGCTGACTCCTCGACGGCCGGTAATTCGTATCACAAACGGAATAGGATTAGCGTACAGTCATGGCGCAGTTGCGGCATTTACCGGAACGACTGAACTAAATTTTAAATAGTTATATCATTTGATAGGCTCAAAAACATTTAAAATTAACATGAAATCAAAAAATGAAAACAAAGTTTTCTTGTTTTAAGTCAGTGGGCACTGATTCGCCATGCAGCGACAGCAGGGTGGTCAGAAAAAATTATGTATCAAAATATTTCTTTCATTTATTTCACATCCAAAGACTAAACCAAAATACCAACATTTTTTTTTTGCTATTTTCTACGAGGCAGCCAATAAAAAAATGCTTAGTATTTTGCATTTTGACGCTTCCAGTCAGCAAAGAATAGTTCTTGTGAAATACGGCCCGAATCGTGTGCCTCGGACGTTTCGGTTACATGAGCGATCCGTTCCAAATACGCACTACGCTAATTCGAATCAGCTCCCCAAGAACGCATTCAGTGCACCGACTACATGAGCAAATTCGTATCAGTGACGTCAAACGGATCTAGTTGGCTCTCGGCCCGATGCGCATTACAAACGGAATAGCATACAAATGTGGCGCACTTCCGTAGCAATAGAGGTGACTAAATTAAAAATTTATTATGTTATGTCTTTTTTGCATTTAATCTGCTCAAAACATTCTCAATTAACTTAACAAAAAGAAGTTGAACATAAAGTTGTCTTGCTTTGACTCATTGGGCAATTGCCTCTCTTCATTCGTCTGTAGTGCTGTCAGAAAAATGTTTCAACTGAAATTATGTGGATATTTACTATTTGGTTTTCACTATATTTATTGTTGAAAACTTGACAAAATACCGACATATTTTTAAATATTATTTTAAAAGAAGAAAATGAAAAAAAATACCAATTATTTTGCATTTTAATGTTTCTTTTTGCGAAGAAATAGTTCCTGTAATACGTATCTTGGTCCTATTCGCTTCTAAGCCTCTTTCCCAGCGGATTTTGTTCGGACCGCCGATTCGTATTAGCAGGTGGATACATGAGTCGGTAGTACGCTCCTGATTCGCATTAGCGGTGAATCCGATCGTGATACGTATTTGCTTTGCTCATGTAACCGCGGATCGGATCGCCGATTCGTACTAGCAGGTGGCTACATGAGTCGGTAATGCGTTCCTAATTCGAATTAGCGGCTAAATACGTATTTACTGTGCTCATGTAACCCCGATAACTGATACGAATTTGCTCATGTAGTCGGTGCTCTAAATGCGTTCTTGGGGAGCTGATGCGAATTAGCTTAGTGCGTATTTGGAACGGATCGCTCATGTAACCGAAACGTCCGAGGCACACGATTCGGGCCGTATTTCACAAGAACTATTCTTTGCTGACTGGAAGCGTCAAAATGCAAAATACTAATCATTTTTTTTATTGGCTGCCTCGTAGAAAATAGCAAAAAAAAATGTTGGTATTTTGGTTTAGTCTTTGCATGTGAAATAAAATGAATGAAATATTTTGATAGATAATTTTTTCTGACCACCCTGCTGTCGCTGCATGGCGAATCAGTGCCCACTGACTTAAAACAAGAAAACTTTGTTTTCATTTTTTGATTTCATGTTAATTTTAAATGTTTTGAGCCTATCAAATGATATAAGTATTTAAAATTTAGCTCAGTCGTCCCGGTAAATGCCGCAACTGCGCCATGACTGTACGCTAATCCTATTCCGTTTGTGATGCGAATTACCGGCCGTCGAGGAGTCAGCCCGGGTGAGCCAAACAAGATCCGTTTGACGTAGATAAAACGAATTAGTCTCATGTAACCGGTGCCGTAGATCCGTTTGTGGGGAGCTGATGCGCATTACCGTAGTGCGTATTTGGAACGGATCGCTCATGTAACCCCGGTAAATGACCAGGGCGAAAAATAAGTGGCCGAAATCCGATGAGAAAGGCAGATTTGGCTTGTAAGCCCCGTCATATATGGCCAGCCGCCGCCTTTGGGCACTACCAATCATTTTCGGAAAACGACACCCCTGCTCTCACATATTATAAAACATCATTCTTGATAACCTACAGTGACAAGACAAGCAAGAATAAACACTAAAAAGATGTAAAAATAGATAAAATCTGAGCCCTGTTCAAGTGCTCTGCGGCCGCCGCGGCTCCCGCGGCCGGGAGGCGGAGCCTAATTTCGGTTGGGTTGAACACCCTCGCGGCTGCGGCCGCTGCGGCCGGCGACGAGAATGGCACAGTTATTTTGAAAGGAGATGCTGATAAAAATTTTGTGTGTAATGGCTATATAATGGCTTTATCACTTCAATTAGTACCTTTTTGAAGCAATTATTCCTTAACAACATAATAAAATCAACCGAAACAAAGAGCGAAATCCGCAATGTTTTGTCTCACGCGCGCAGTTTATGTCGAAGTTTCCCTGCGGGTCGCTCCCGAGCGACCGCGGGAGCCGCAGGAAGAGCTACGCATTACCCAGAATGCTGCTCTCGCCTGATTGGCCGCCAGCTAAGCTCCGCCTTTTTGGCCGCGGGAGCCGCGGCGGCCGCAGACACTTGAACAGGGCTCCGGCAACTCAGCGCCGAACCTTCACACACACACAGATGTAACGGAAGTTGGCACAGATTCAGCACAGATTCAGCACAGCACAGATTCGGTAGGGGGAAAAAAGGCCCCGGTAGAGGGAAACCTTTATGACCCGTTTTCCCCTAGAAATGACGTCACAAAGAGGTAAAAATGGGTATCAATCGAAAGCTCTCGTTTACCCAGACACAGTCCTGTAGGAAAATTTCACTTTTTCCCCATAGGAAAGTTTGTACGGGAAAATCAAAATTTTGGGTCAATGGGGGGTCCCCCCCGATTTCGTTCAAAATCGGCACACAGGTGCCCCACCACCAGCCGAGAAACTTTCCCCAAAACGGTCCCCGTTGCATTGACATTTAAGGCCCGTAAAGCCCCCTAGACTCGTAAAATATCCGTAAAATCGCCTTTGTACGGACAAAAAAGTGGTGCTATGGTAAAAATGGGTATCAATCGAAAGCTCTCGTTACCCAGACACAGTCCTGCAGGAAAATTTCACTTTTTCCCCATAGGAAAGTTTGTACGGGAAAATCAAAATTTTGGGTCAATGGGGGGTCCCCCCCGATTTCGTTCAAAATCGGCACACAGGTGCCCCACCACCAGCCGAGAAACTTTCCCCAAAACGGTCCCCGTTGCATTGACGTTTAAGGCCCGTAAAGCCCCCTAGACTCGTAAAATATCCGTAAAATCGCCTTTGTACGGACAAAAAAGTGGTGCTATGGTAAAAATGGGTATCAATCGAAAGCTCTCGTTTACCCAGACACAGTCCTGCAGGAAATTTCACTTTTTCCCTATAGGAAAGTTTGTACGGGAAAATCTAAATTTTGGGTCAATGGGGGGTCCCCCCCGATTTCGTTCAAAATCGGCACACAGGTGCCCCACCACCAGCCGAGAAACTTTCCCCAAAACGGTCCCCGTTGCATTGACGTTTAAGGCCCGTAAAGCCCCCTAGACTCGTAAAATATCCGTAAAATCGCCTTTGTACGGACAAAAAAGTGGTGCTATGGTAAAAATGGGTATCAATCGAAAGCTCTCGTTTACCCAGACACAGTCCTGCAGGAAAATTCCACTTTTTCCTCCATAGGAAAGTTTGTACGGGAAAATCAAAATTTTGGGTCAATGGGGGGTCCCCCCCGATTTCGTTCAAAATCGGCACACAGGTGCCCCACCACCAGCCGAGAAACTTTCCCCAAAACGGTCCCCGTTGCATTGACGTTTAAGGCCCGTAAAGCCCCCTAGACTCGTAAAATATCCGTAAAATCGCCTTTGTACGGACAAAAAAGTGGTGCTATGGTAAAAATGGGTATCAATCGAAAGCTCTCGTTTACCCAGACACAGTCCTGCAGGAAAATTTCACTTTTTCCCCATAGGAAAGTTTGTACGGGAAAATCAAAATTTGGGTCAATGGGGGGGGTCCCCCCGATTTCGTTCAAAATCGGCACACAGGTGCCCCACCACCAGCCGAGAAACTTTCCCCAAAACGGTCCCCGTTGCATTGACGTTTAAGGCCCGTAAAGCCCCCTAGACTCGTAAAATATCCGTAAAATCGCCTTTGTACGGACAAAAATGTGGTGCTATGGTAAAAATGGGTATCAATCGAAAGCTCTCGTTTACCCAGACACAGTCCTGTAGGAAAATTTCACTTTTTCCCCATAGGAAAGTTTGTACGGGAAAATCAAATTTTGGGTCAATGGGGGGTCCCCCCGATTTCGTTCAAAATCGGCACACAGGTGCCCCACCACCAGCCGAGAAACTTTCCCCAAAACGGTCCCCGTTGCATTGACATTTAAGGCCCGTAAAGCCCCCTAGACTCGTAAAATATCCGTAAAATCGCCTTTGTA